TTCCTGATCCCCCAGACCTAGACTCGCCCATTACGGGGGAGAGATTGACCTCCAGTTGAATAGATCTTTTGATTAGCTATCGATTGATACCCTATGTTAGACATAACCTATTTCATAAGGTCAATAAAACAACATTGAAAATTAATAAATAACAATAAAATATTGTCTAGTATGTTTTGTAAATGTTTTTATTTTTATGTTTAAAAATATAGACTTATCTTATTTATATATTTTCATTAGTTTCGAAAGTTTGTGAATTTAATTTTTGATAATTTAGGACACAACCCAATAAAATTTTTTTACAGTTTTATCAATAATAAAAAAGATATACAAAAAAGTTGTTATTTAATTGACATCTGGTAGGTAGTGAGTTCCGTCAGAAACTGTTTTAGGGATCCCATTTTTCTGAAACTAGCCGGCACTAGCAGTTAGCCAAGGATTATCCTGAATTCACAGTAAGCGCAAATTCGTGGTATTAGTATATTGGATTCGAACTTTAATATCATCATTTTCTTTTGTAGAAAATTGAGTAAAATTTAACAAAAAATAAAATTATACCTAAAACGAATTATTCACTATTCGATTTTATTTCATAAGATTCGTATTTTATGAATAAAAAAATTATTTGATTCGAATCGAATAAAGAAAATATATTATCTGTGGAATATTTTTTTTATCTATTTATTATTCGATCGAATTATTCTTATTATTTGAAATAATTTATAAATATTAGAAATTATTCGTAATTAAATATTCCAAATTATTTGCTAATATTTCAAATTATTCAGACCCAGAAATATTTGACATGATTCTTAAGTATTTAAAAGTTCCTTGAAAAGTTTTTACTTTTTTTTTCATCTATAAATCACTTATTAAATTTTAATATCCTTTTTGAATTGAAGAATTTAATTTTTGGCATCGAATATTCGATGAATCAAATCCAATAATGTTTTCATTATTCGAACGGATACGAATAAGGAATTATTTAATTCGTACTAATACGAATAATATAATTATTCGATTCGAAGAGTCTTCTTGAAAATTAAAAAATATTAGATAACTTTTTAGCTAAGTTCTATATCTCTTTTAAATTATTGAGGAATAATTTTGATCAAATAAATTTATGCACGAATTTAAGCTCTTCACGAAAATTAGAAAGTATTAATAATAAATTTTTAGCTGTTTTATATTAGCCTTGTTGAACGGCCCAATTAAGATTATAACCAAAATTATATTTTATAAGCCTGTAGATTTTACACATATATGGCAGAAAGGTTTTTACCTCTATTTGCCAAATCTCCAATCTTGCATAATATTAATTTGGCTAAAATCTTAATCAGGCCGTCCAAAACATCACTATTTTATATATCTCTTATATTATTCAAAAATTTGTTGATCAGACCATAATTACTACTTAGATTTATTAATGTTTGAATCTTTGAATTATAGAAAAGTTTTTTTTTTAAATAAAAAATATTTTAAAAAAATAATACAATAGCAACAACCAAAAATGATTTATATTTTAATTTCTATACCTAAAATATAAATTCTCACCATGTACATAAAAAAATTTGGTTATTGCTTAAGTCGAGGGGTATATTATTTATTTTATTTTTTTTGTTATTTTTTTTATGTTATTTTTTTTAAATTTTTAAAATATTGTTGCATATTTTTATTATTTAGTGATAATTTTTTTGTGATAAATTTTTAAAATAATGTAGCATATTTTTATTATTTGGTGATAAATTTTTAAATTAATATGTATTTTTTCTTTTAAGATATTATAAAATATTTTTTTCTTTTTTAAAAATATTTCTTAATTCCTAGGGAGGGGAGAAGGGTAGAAGAATTGTGATGAGTCAATTTTATTCATTAAATTGAAATATAGTCTGATAATCTAAGCAATTTTAGGAAAATTAGCATAAAATCTTAAATTTTGTATTTATTAGGGGTAAAATAGACCCCATCTTTAAATTCTAAGTGATTTTTTTAACCTTTGTTGGGAAGGGTTAATTCGAAATAAATTGAAATATATTATTGAAATTTATACAAAATAAAAATATCGAAATATAGTAATAAACGAGTCAATTTTATTCATTAAATTAAAAATACCTTTAAAAATTTATGTTTCTCATTTACTTCTATACAATATATTTATACTTACTCATTATATAAATTCATAACCAATTATTAATTTAATTAAAAATATTAATTTAACCGCAAATTATTTCAAAGAATTAATAAAAAATTAAAAAGATCTTAAAATTTCCATATTTTTAATATATTATATCAATTATTAATTTAATTAAAAATATTAATTTAAAAATTAATATAATATAATTAATTTTTAAAAACCGCAAATTATTTCAAAGTATTAATAAAAAAATTGAAAAGATCTTAAAATTTCCATATTTTTATTATATTATAATGTAATGTTATTATAATATTTTTTCTCTAAAAAAAGCAATAAATCAATCAAAATTCTCATTAAACATTCCCTTTGTTATTTTTATTTTCAATATTATTTTTTAGCCTCTCGTATTACCAAGCCTTTCGACTTATAGACCTTGCGCAAAAAAATAACAAAAAAAATAAAAAAAAAATAAAATAAAAAAAAAATAATATACCCCTCGACTTAAGCAATAACCAAAAATTTATAAACAAAAAATAAAATATTATTTGAAAAAAAACATGATCTAACTTTGTCTGTTTATAAAATATATAAAAAGTATAAAAAATGTATCAGACCATGACTTTGCAAAAAGTAAAAATAATTATATAAAATAGTTAAAATTAAATTTTATCCACGCCTTTATTTCATTTTTTTCTGGAATTATTTAGAAGGGTAAATAAATGAGAAAGCCGTTTATTTTAGCTCGCTATAACACCTGGTTCTTGAGATATAGGGGCTCAAATCTGTAAAATTTTTAAAATGCTTATATCTCAAAAAATAATTATATATCATATTAGTAAAAATATTCTCTAAAGGGCTATCAAAAAATAATAAAAATTGGCGCCAAATTGAGTCTAACATTCGGTTTACTTATAATGCTTTACCTGTATTTTTAAGCAAAAAAGGGAGTTTGTTTTCAATGTGAACAGGATTTCCATTAGTGTTGTTAAACGGCTCTTTATGAGCCGATTTTTAAAAACGGCTAAATCAAAATTTTAACCAGAAAACAATTGTCTAAGCATCGAGATTTCGATAATAGATGTCTAAACCTTTGTGCCATCTATCTGGACCTTGGGTCTGAACGTCGGGTCTGTGCTAGGGGTTCGTGCTCAGAGCTCGTTTTGTCGATATTTTAGACCCAAACCCCGGGTCTGGGCTCTACACAACCAATCTATTAACAACACTACTTATGAAGGCAAAAATAATTTTATATGTAAATAGGAAAATATCAAGTGCAGAAAAGGCTAATTTTATGTAATATTAAAGAACTTTTCATTCACTTTAGAGAGACTCATAACGATATACAGTTAGGTCTGAGTAGATTTGCTTTCTTACGACCTAAAAACTGTGTTTTAGCAGGTGGTCCAGGTACACATACCATGTGTATCTGCACATTACAATAAAATTTTAAGCTTATTTTAATAGGTGGAAAATTAAAACAGCTAACAAACAATATTGGTCATTATAATTATCCTGTGTAAAAACAGAACAAATAAATTAATTAATAATAACTAATATGAAATATTCGTCCTCTAGTCGACTCAATTATATATTTCGTATTCATGGTCAAGTTCAAAGTCTAAAGTATATAAATGTAAAAAATAGATCACAAATATCTTAATTAATAAAATTTGAAATATTCGTCCTCTAGTCGACTCACGTTCATATAAGTATAACTATTCGTCCTCTAGTCGACTCAAATATATATTTTGTATTCATAACTCAAGTTGGAAGTCTAAAGTAAATAAATGTAAAAAACAGAATAAATATCTTTAAATAAAAACTAATTTGAAATATTCGTCCTCTAGTCGACTTAAGTTCATAGAAAAGACTTGAGTTCACGACTTGCGTCGACTCGAGTTCATAACTCAAGTCAGTTTGGGTCGATTTTTTCGACCCAAAACTTAGACTCAGTCGATTAACAACACTATATAAAATAAATAATGGTAATTTAAACCTAAAATTTGTTTTATTATAAATTTAAAAAATAATATCTATAGAAACTATTAAATTTAAAAAAGTAAGATGGCCCACATTGAGTCACATTTATTTAGGTTGATTGTAAAATTTTAAAAAATCGCACGCTCCAAATAGATTTGAGAAATTTTTACATCTAAAATCTTAATAAAATGTAGCTTAGATGATCCAAGGACCCAATGGTAGGAATATCTATTGGAATGGAATTAAAATTTGTAAGATCGTGGCATATGATTTCGAACTTTCAACTGTTATAATCGGGTCAATGTTTTAGTTAGAGGAGTAGGAGACCTATGTGAAATCCTAAATAAGTAGCTTTCCTAAAAATCAAGGATATTTGTAAGGGCATCTGGTCTTTTTCCATCAAGCAGGGTCTTTTTCCATCAAGCAGGGATATGTGAACGGGTTTCATTCCAGGTAATTTGGATAGTTAGCCAAACCTAATTTATTCAAGATTATCAATTAATTTCTCTATGACGGCTGAACTGCCTTTAGAATACAAGTAAACTAGGCCATATTGGTTAAAAACTATAGCCATCAAGGCCCCCGACTGACTATTAAAGAATTTTATTCTATTAATTACTTCATTATAAGTTAAGGAAAGGGTAGAAGCAGATGCAGAGGCCCTGGGAAGTAATCATCCAAAGGAATCCTTGGAGTGTTTTTCATATAAGATAAATCGGGTTTTCAAAATCGGCCTGATCCGAGTTTTTTTTAAATAAGTGAATATCGGTCTCGATCCGATATTTAATATCAGCACCACCCTATTTATAAAATATCTCTGTCCTGTGTATGTTCAATGTTATACATCTAATTAAAACTAATATGGATATTTTATTATTTAAAATAGAACCTAATGATGAAAGCGCTGCCAACGTCGATGCTGCCAAAATGTGGAGGGAAAATAGAAACGAATTCAAGGAAAAGGCTAAAAGAATTGTTAAATCTACACTCGGAATTGCGTGATATAAAATATATAATATTACCGATAATCAAATCACCATTTCAATTTACTCTTGACTATATATTTTTTGTTTTATTTTTTCGCTAAATACACATGAATATTTTTAAAAATTTGAGTAAGTAGACCGTATCCAAGTAACAATGTTCACAATATTTATGTATTATTATGATCATATACTATTATCAGCGATAACAATTTTTCTAGACGTTACTCTTTTGCCATTTTGTTGATCCGATTAAAATAATAAATAAATAACCCATTTGGTGGTTTTTATATTAATATTAAACTTATAAAAACTATTTTTATGTATATGTGTTTAATAAAAAATATAGATATATCTGAATTAAGATGATTCTTAAATTATATATTATACACTTATAAGTAATAAGGCAGCATTGATATTTATATAGGTATCAAATCGACGCCGATATTGGTCATTTTAAGAAATTTTTTTATCTGCCGATCTTTTTATAAATCTGATTTTTTAAACATTACCTTATAAGGATTAAATTATTTCCTATTTTTTTAACAATGGTGGAATTATTATCATACAACAACTATTTATTTTATAGAATAAATACCTAATATAATTAAGATAATAGACATCAATCGATAGCTAATCAAAAGATCTCTCCAATTGGAAGTCAATATCTCCCAATTAAAGGGTTAACTTTGGTGGTTAGAAAGATTTTTATCAACATAAAATATAGATATGATATGGGTATCAAATAAAAGCTATTTGAAATATATTTTAACTGGATTAATATATTCACTCTTGGTCTATGGTATGGGGAGTGGGTGTTTAAAATTTGATATGGTTATCAAATAATTGTTTGATTGTAATCATAATTATCACTCTCGTTTAGATTTTTGAGGATCAATAATATTTTTATCAAAAAATAAATACTTCGGGCGGGCGTGGTTGGATTTTTAAAAAATATTTTAAACATTGGGTGGGTTAAGAAATATTTGTTTTAGGGCGAAATAAGCAGAGCAGACTTCAGTTTATTGAAAATTATAGTTTTATTTCATAATATTGTACATTTTATATGCTTAAAAATAAATAAATAGCCAAACCAGTCATTAAAATAATTTTTAAACATTGGGCGAGCGCGTAAAACAAAATTTATAGATAAATGGGCGGACAGGAGGTAAAATTTTTTAAAAAATTTAGGTGGGCGGTGGTTAAATAAATTTTAAAACAACGAGTGGGCGGGTTCGTTGCAGACCTCTAATTCACTTGATCTTATTAAGTTGTAGTATCTTTGAGTTGGATGAGAGATATAAAAAATCATATGGTTATCATATAATAGGTTGATTGTAATAATAATTATCACTTTAAGTGCACATGTCTAGACTGCGGAGTGAGAAAGTGATATTCAATTTAATATTTTTATATGAATAATTTCTTATGCAAATTAGAAGAATTATTACGATATTACGTGTGATGTTTCTTAATTATAGATTATAATTGTCGAATATGTTAATTTTAAAAGTAAGTTATATATTTTTCTATGATTTGAGATTTTATTTTTGTACTCGCCGCTTTTCAATTTTTAGGAAGATTTTTTTTTAAACTTTTTGATTCTCCACTTTAATTCTTTTATTATTGTATAATTTTGATTATGTTATTATAAATGTATATGGGAGCATGTGTATGACAATGTAAAATAAAGGGATTAGTAAATTATGATTTCATATATCTTCTATGTTTATGACAACATCCTTGAAATTTATATATACATTTATCTTCTTTACAAGCGTTAACCAAACATGCTTTTCACAATTTTAATCAACACAAATAATTGATATTATAATAATATTATACTTATATTACGGCTGTGCCGATCCACATATTTTTCACCGACGATATTGGCTCAAACCCGATCCGATATTTATATTGATTTTTAACCACCCCCCTTTGAACCAAAGTAATTAAGAAATCAATATTTTTTATGCAAAAAATCGAATTATTCATTTAATTTTTTTTATTTCTACACTAATTTAAAAAAGTTTACGGATATTGGTAGTATTAAATGAATTTTTCATTATTCCTCCCCGTGAAAATAGAATTCCGCAGACAAAATTATCATTGTCTTTTGTAAAATATTTCCATAATTCAGATATCATATTTAAAAAAATTCTCTTATTTAAAGTATAAATAATAATATTGGCTCTATTATTTAAAAAGATTTTAAATAAATAAAACTTTGGATGTTCCTTTCTATTTTTATAAAGAAACTTTTAAAATACTATAAATCTGTTTAAAAAAATAAATAAAATTTAAGGGGTGATTGTTTAAATTATAAAATATTATTAATGTAAAATAAATATACATAATATAACAAAAAAAGAAAAGTAAAAAGATCGGATCAGTTTTTTACAGATAACGGCCCGATCCGATATTTTTGGAAAACGCTATATATCGGTGCCTATCCGATATTTAATATCGTTACAGCCCTACATTATATTTTATGATATATTTATTTTTTTTGTTGACTTCGATATATTGATTTTTTTTCTTTTTACTATATACAAAAATTACTTATAGTTTCATATATAATTTCATCCGATAAATTAGTGAGCTAATCCCTACCCTACATGGTAGAGGATAGGATTTACATTAAAATCAAAGTGCTCTTTAAGACTTTAGACCTTAAAATCTTAGCTGAAAATATTGTGGATGAGGCTACCAACAAATATAAACTTTTCGAGATGATTGATAAAGATATGGCGGTGAGTATTATGGACAATTTGGATAATTTATTCTATCAGCAAATGAAAGTCTTGAATCTAAAAAAAGTTGGAAAGGATAAGATTACTGGAATATTTGAACTTTTAGATAGAATAGATTACAAGAATATTTGGATCAGCTTAAAGGCTGTGATTCTAGGCTGAATACGCAATTTATTTCGGTTACAATTTATCATCAACATATCGTAATGAAAAACTTAAAGTAAGACTATTTGAGGGAAATACGACGGATTTTAACATTATTGATGATATAGTGGTCAAATGTCAATCGATAGAAGTTGCAGATAATAAAATCTGTTCAGAGAAAGATACATGGAGAAGAGATGGAGCGAATTGACAAGAAATACGGGATGGAGAGACAATAAATATATATATAAAGGGTCAGCAACAGGGTTGCCATGCCTCCCCCCATCAGTGGGAGTCTCCCACAATTTTTTAGTTTACCCACATACATCTCACTCCCACAATTAGAAATCTCCCACAATTTTGTAATTTCTCCCACAATTTTTTTTTTAGCATTTTAATGTTTTTAATATATAAATAATAATTTTGAGAGACAGTATTTGATTATTTTTATATTTTTAAAATAAATTTTAAATATTTATTCGAAAAATATGTCTAGTTCTTTTATTTTATTTTTCCGCTAATTTTAAATTCTCCATCCAATCCATTCGACATTTTCAAAATTTGAAGTTAGAATAGTATGGGAAACTAGTGCTTTTTTTATATTTTTATTTATATATACCATGATAGTTATCTTCTAGGTGAGATTTAGATTGTTTTGAGGTTAAAGCACTAGTTTCCAATACTGATGTTGTTTTTTGGACAATAAAATGTTATAATTAAATATATAAAAAGAAAAATTATTTTCAATATAAATTGCTTATGTACTATTATATATTAAAAAATATATTATTAATATTAGAAGTAATATTTTTAAAAATTAGCAATGAAAGTGGAACTCATCTTAGAAAATATTATTATCCTAATCATCTTTAATCTAAGCTTAAAAAATCCTAAATATTATACATATTTTTATTTATATATACCATGATAGTTATCTTCTAGGTGAGATTTAGATTGTTTTGAGGTTAAAGCATTAGTTTCCAATACTGATGTTGTTTTTTGGACAATAAAAGGTTATAATTAGCATATAAAAAGAAAAATTATTTTCAATATAAACTGCTTATGTACTATTATATATTAAAAAATATATTATTAATATTAGAAGTAATATTTTTAAAAATTAGCAATGAAAGTGGAACTCATCTTAGAAAATATTATTATCTTAATCATCTTTAATCTAAGCTTAAGATATCCTAAGAGGACGAGTTAATGGTAAAACAAAATTATAAAATGTCATGCCAGGATTTTTATAAATATCTTAATAATGACGGTAAACGTTTAGTTCCATTATTTAAATCTCATTTAAAATATAATTAACTAACTATTTGACTTTCTATATTTTATAAAATCTTATTTATACATTTGCATAAAATCAAATAAATTTATTTTTTACATTGTAAAATTAATATTTTGAATATTTTGGCAAATCATAAAAATAAAGAAGCATTACAATCTCCTCAAACATGACATCATATTAAATCTTATTAATAATTATCCGATAATAGTAATATTCTTACTTTGGTATTTCTGCAGCATAATTTAGTGAGCCTTTATTAAATTATATTCTTCTGATTGCAACTGCATATTAACAGTATATAGTAGATTTCCTATATGTAAAATTCCTAAATATACTTCTGCCATTTATTTTTGAAGACAGCTTTTATAATCTATTTATTTTTTAAAGGTTTGTATTTTAAAATTCTACGATGGCGCGTATTAGGAGGAACCTGTTAACCAACATTATGCTGACTCAATTCTGTAAATACACTCTGGTTTTTGCCAAATTCACTGAGGAATTATCAGATCAGAAAGCTACCATGCAATTCATTGGTAATGCCAAATCTGCCATATTTACCATTATATATGGTTAGCTATGTCTTTGGATATTTCATATCTGGAGAAAATTTTTTTAATAGTTTTATTAAAATGACATTAATTTTGTTGAAATAGGGGAGGATCAAGGGAAATGTTTTGATATCTCCTTATTAGATGCATTTGTTAGAATTGCATATGTTTGCACATCTTTCAAATCGTCAAGAATTGACCTTCTGGATTTATATCCTAAAACATTGTTGATAGCCTTGCTCATTTTGTGTTCTACAAAGTATTCTATTCATTTATATTAGTCGTTAAATATTATGGGGAAAGATTCTACCAACATTGAGATGTTGAGTAACTCTCTGAATGTTGTACTGCATGATAGGTATTTACCATTTCCGCAACTGTAGTTGCATCTATATTATTTCTTATTTTTGAAGAATATTTTTGTTTTGAAATAGATGTTGATAGAATGCCCTCTACTGATTTATGCTTTGAAGATTTTTGATACCTCAAAATATCATATTCCCTTCCCCCAT